TAGATTGTACCCTGAAAGTTCGGTTTCTGGTCAGAATTCAACAATGTTCTCAAGTTTCGCGCGTTTTACAACATCGCTCACGTGTAGCAATGCCCCTAGTCAAATCAGCACAATTACTGGCATACTTATACATTAGCGATACAATGAATTGACAAGACAGAACGTTCCAATTATCAAAGCTTGGTTGTATTCCTGTTCAAATTGACACACGTCATGGTACATACGTTCACTCGTTCCCCGCTGGGTGAAATTTGGCGTCTTTGACACAATGTGTCAGATGATTGTATCGATGGTATCGCTATCTCGTGTTGGCGATAGCGATAGTAAAAAACCCATCACTGACGGTTTAATACAGTTGATCACACATCGTACCAAATACATTACTAGCTGGTCGTCATTGACAGTGTTCAAGAAATTCACATAAAACGTAACAATTTTCATTACCGTATTGTTGCAGGACAAAGACATTACCTAGCACGTCTGAAAATTGTCAAAGTATTCGAACGCGTACTAGCTTACTGTGCCGTTTTTGCGTTAATATGAAGTAAATGAAACACATTTGAAGTATGTTTTGGTGACGTCACGATCATATTTAAATTTAAAGCGGGTGGGTCGTCACCTACGCACGCGCGGGAATTGAGTTCCAAGCGACGATAACAACACACGCTAAAAACGCAAAGGTTCATGGGTAGACGCTTGTTTGTAAACAATGACACGCTATGGCCATCCGACGCATGCGCACGTGACGACTCCCGCGCTTTAAATTATGTAAGGATATCCATTATTAGAAGTAAGTTTGACGAGAATTCAAAACATGACTTATGTTTTTGTGTTTGTATACAATCAAGGTGGTATTCCCACAAGTGAATATGCCACTCTGACCACATGACAATACTTACAAGTACCAGACCACAAATACAATTTCAATTCTATGATGTTATATACCCACCTGGGCCAGCATATGCGCGTTCGTGATTCTCGCGAAATAGGTATGCTTTGAGATTTCATCTTTGAAACAAAATACCCAGGAATGGCCAACAGTAGTAAATGTTGCATCATAGTATGACCATGTGACCTAGCAAGTCTGTGTTGAACTAAATCTTCATGTGCACCAATATTACATATATTTACATTAAATCTAGCATACATTGCTAGCTTGTGTGCATTATAGCCTTACTACGTTGAATTTGAAAACAAAACTATAATGCTGCGCGGGATTTTAACACGGGATTCTATGAAAGAAATGCAAATCTCCTGGGCCAAGTCAGATAATAAAATACGACACATTATCTTACATGATACGCGCGTTATAGCTTCCGTATGATTAAACGCGACAAACTTTCTAAAATGCGAGGCATGATAAGGTAGAAGCCGACTCATAAATTAATAAACCCAGAATTTATTCATTTTGCAATAAATTGTACTCCAAGGCAATACAAGGATATTGACCTAAAAAAAGTTGGGGGTCACCAGCATTTTTTTTTTTTTTTTTTGAGAAATTAATGGTTGTATTTTAGTGGAAAGTCGCATTTTGACACTATTATAACACTTTTACCACAGGTTCCTATGGCAGAGATATTATGCAATATCTCAAAATCTAGCCCGGTGACATAGGTTGAAAAAAATCATATATTGTTAATGATGGAGTACTTTTTGTTGTTCTGAATTATTTAAAAAATCAGGGTTTTAAAAAGTCTCAAAAAATGCAATTTTTCTTTAACATTGTGTTCTATGGAATTGTTCTAAAAAATAGCATTTTTCAAGAAATATTAGGACACGTTTCTCAAAAAGCATAACTGTAACACACAAAATAATGCTATTTCATTGTACTGTCATGAATTTGTTTTCGCGTATCTGTTGACCGACTTAATTAACTGATTATTAGCTGAATTGCTGTGTTACGTCTGTCATCGTTTAGGTCTATTTGAAGTTTTGGACGGAACTTGGCTCAGTGGTTTGGAACTAATTACAAGATACCGTCGCTATTCTGATATTCATAGTTATTAATGTAGTGAACGATTAATCAAAAGATATAACGTATTCAGTACTTAGTATGATTGGCTTTATGATTGAAGGTTACGCCCTAGAGTCTTTTTACTGTTTTGTAATTGGTTAGAGTTTTGAAAATGAATAAAGAGAGTTTGAGTTGGTCTTGGCGAATACTCCACGACAGACGCAGTTCTGGGCAGTCGAGAGTCCAGTCTTGTGCTAGTCTTGGGTCAGCCTTGCGAGAGTCTTGGGGACTTTTCCCCAGGGCGCCGTGTCTTATAGAGTGCTCGAAAGATCGACTAAGACGAGAGCTGAAACGTATTTCGTTGTGTGTGTCTTATTTGACTGTAAAGTTAAAGTGACCTTCCCGATCCCGTACCTCAAGGGGACGAGATATAGAGACGAGACGAGTTCCCCCCCCCCTGACAGTGTGGAGACCCCGAGAGAGAGAGATTTATCCCCTGATAGTACCATGTGACATTAGTTTCATGATTGTACATAATAAACTAATGAACATTGTCTTGCGAGTTATGACCAATTTTGTCAACAATTATAACTAGGCTTCTCCCTTAACACGCAATCATGTGGTGTTATGCAAACAATTGAAAAGATGCAAGCCCTGGACCAAGTCAAATGCAGAAATACGACATCCTATGGTGCGCGCATTATATCTTTACAATACGACAAGAGGTGGGTTATAACGCAATATTGCTACATTTGTACTAAGTTTAGGTGGATCTAACCTAACATATTAACTCAGTGCTGTTGTTGGAACGAAAAATAGTTTAAATTTTATGCACGTGAAAATATTCGGTAATCCAATATAAACTAAGAATACCATTGAAGAAAATACACGTCTTAGAGCCCCGTCACACCATAACGTTTTGGTCAGCGTTCTCTGAACGTTCCAATCGTTCAATTTCCGAGCGTTCTGGAACGAGGTAGACACATCCAGCGTTCGATTAACGAGTGCCTAACGTAGACTAGCGTGTTCTTAACGCACGAGGAGCGTGTAATGAGCGACCAAGTAAGATCGTTCGTCGCGCGCTAGTGACACGTTAGCACACGTAAATGATTTCCAGGGGTGTTGAGCGTGTATCTAACGTGTGAATAACGGACGAATAGCGTTTAGCTAGCGTGTGAGTTTTACGGCAGAACGTGTACAAAACGTTTAAAATTTCATTTTGAATTCAGTTGTTCTTTTGAGCTTGAAGAATCAACATCATGCCACAGAGACGAAAAAAACGTGGGGTGGGTGGTTCTACTTCTATTCCTAAGAAAAATACCAAGCCTCTTGTCAAAGCAAGTTCTTCGGACGAAGAAGATCTCCTCGACGACGAGTCGATCCGAGAAGATAACCCTAACGTGGCACCCCGTGAGGACCCTAAACCCCCTGAAGACCCCAGTGAGGAAGGTCCCACCACAGCAAAGAGGGAGAAAAAACAGAGAAAGGATTGCAAGATCCAGGACAGGGAGGTTGAGGATAGTCTCGTCGAGTTTTTCCGCGAAAACGAACTTTTATGGAACTCGCAGAAGACTGAGTACAGGAACAAGGCCAAAAGGCAAAGAGTGCTCAAGGCCAAGGCCACAGAACTAGGGATCGACGTGGACCATCTGTGGACCTGGTTCAAGTCCCTCAGGGACATGTTCACAAGGCAAGTATTTACCTCATGACTTGCATGACAACAATTTATATATTCCATATCTTATCAGATGCCAATACTTGAACAATTTTCTTACTATATGCTTAGTATGTCTTTATATCTACCAGGTTGGACAAGAAAAAGAGTGGGGATGGCCAACAACAATTGACGGAGAGGGAGACATGGATAAAAGCCAAATTTGGCTTCTTCCATCCAGCTGTCAACCATCGCTCGAAACCCGCCAGGAGTGTAAGTATTGATACACATTTTGAACTAATCACATAATTATACATGTACAACAATTAGAGTTGAGGAGGAATGGCCCAAGGCGATAATAAAAACCATCGTCGTTTTCAACCGACTCACCCCTCAAGAAATAATGGTTCGCTCCATGTTGATATTATGCTCAATATGCAAAACAATGCTCTAGTTCAGTTTTCTCTGTTTTATCTCCGTTACTAAAACACCGTGTCAATATATTTATATCCACCTCTGACTTCCTCCGATGTGTAGTTGGACAACGTAGCTGTGTTTTCACCGTGTTAATGGCATTTGCTGTACCGGAATTGTTTACTTAATTTATTTCCATTTTCGCACTAAATTCATGACATATTAAACTGTATTTACAGACTGACCCATCCATTAACACTAAATTCAAGCATTAACGCCTACATTGGGCGTTTAACATTGGAAATAAACTCCATTGTGTATCATGAACTGCACACGTTCAAAATTGCGTTCATGTAAACACTCGTTCAATGTACAGCGCATGCGCCATTAGCTTTCTTTATGCTCGATGTTCGGAAGGTGATGCTTGCTCTCTGTTCACACGAATAGAAATCAGAGGTACGTACGTCGGGGTCAAATAGACACCAACATCTACAACTTATACGTTGATCTCAGTCACCGTGTGAACGTCGCTCCAAGCAACTGGACCGTCGTTCGCGATTTAGATGAGGTTTGAACACGTCATTTGCACACTTTGGTTTTTCCGTGTTAAAAATGGCGTCATTGTGAATTTGGGCGTCCATTTGTAAGAGTGCCGTCACCGAAAGGGGTTGGTCAATTGCTGTCTAAACTGCGTTGACTATCGCATTGTGTATAAACACGTGATATCTGTTACAATCTTAACTATGGTAACAGGGTATGTAGAAGCTTTGGATGGGTACAGTCAGTGTTCGTTTCGCAGAACATTGATCGTCAATATTTGTTGTAATGTATGTTTCACGCATGCGCGGTAGGCGAGTGTTTACGTAGTTTCTTTGCCATGCATGTTACAAGGAAAGACAAATGATGTCATTTACTTTAAACTGTGGCATTTCACAGATGAAGAATTTGAAATAAAATTATTGGGTCATATACAAATTTCAGAGAAAATTAATGAACATTTTGCTAAAAAAGATAAAACATGGTGTCTTGAAGGAAAGTAATTAAGTAAATGACAATTTTTCTAGTGAGTTTTTAATTAATAAAAAATGTGCATATATTTTAATTTACCGGGAATTTATTTAATTTATTTACTTACTGTTAACTTATTCTGAAATAATTTATAACTACTAGTATACAGGTTGACCATTAGCAACTTTTGATCGAAAAATGGTAGAAAGACCCTTTCGTTCATAATAAAGACTTAGTGTTGGGCAAGATTTTGTTTCATGATGATGTAGTGATAATATCTGTATTGTGTGTATGTTTTTTTTTATTCAGAATAGTTTGTGTATTTTTCTGTAATTTTCTCTGTTAATTTTTTTTTTTTTTTTTTTTTTACCATCTATCACCCCTAAATATTATCATTACTATATGAACTATGGTCATGTCAACAATGCATGAGTAGCATTTTATTAAATTTGTGTTAAATTTACCAATATATATACACCTAATATATTTTGAACTGCCCTCAAAAAATTGGAGGGCCTTCATCAATCTTTTTTTTGCTTCAGTTTACAACTTATCAATTTTCTTGGGTTGTACAGCCTTAGTTCTTTGGAATAATATCAAAATGTGATTTCTATGGAAACACATTATGGGACCTTCTATTCTTCTTTTTGTACCTTTCAAATCTATATAACACTAAGATTAAATCACAAATTTATTAAGAAATTACTTCATAAATTTTGATAAATTTTTCTGGTGATTGAACTTCTTTTTAACCCTCTGAATGCCAAGGTCTACTTCTTTTGTCTTTCGCAAATTAATACATTTTTTTTCCTTTATTTTAAAGTAAAATATGGCCAAAAATTGACAAAAAAATAAAACATACAAATTTGCAAAGTTACAGTTAATTGGGTAACCACTTCAATGTCTTGTACAGTAAAATCAACAAATAACATACTGCAAACTGAATTTTTAAACAGAAATGCCAGTTACAAGATGATACTTTGGTATTATTTATTTAAATTACCAGCATGTAAATTTACAGGCTCCATAACCTTATACAATGACAAATGAAATTACATAAATTATAAATACTGATTGATTTGAACTTGTACAGTTCACTAAGTAGATCAATTTATAGTGCAGCATTTAGCATATCTTTTAGTCATTTATAAATTTAATGATTGGGAGAAATTTACATCCATTTATATTGTATTATTATATTATTTATTATATTCATTTATTTATGTAATATGTATTTGCTATGTTCTCCTGACAACAAAGGCCCACTAATTTTAAAAATTAAGGGATGCGTTTTTATTGAGTATCCCAACTAAAAAAGAAAAGGTACAACAAAAGATAAATAGAGTAGTACAAAAGTAAAAATTAACAATTTTTCATTTATGGTCAACATCTCTCATTAAAACTCTTATTAGTTAATTTCTTGACACAGTTCAAAGTCACATTGGTGTTTGGAATTTCCTGAAGAAATTCTATTACTGTAGAATACTTTATTTTCGCTTGGAATTTATTTTCGTTATTTTCGCTGGAGGGATGATTCCATGAAAATAAAATCCAGCGAATATACTTTTTTTCCTATATTTCACATTACACTCATCAAAAATCAGTGAAAATAAATTCCATACAAAACGCCCAAAAAGCCTTTTCAGCGAAAATTAATTCCAGCCAATATTAAGTATTCCACAGTATTCTAAATGTTTTTGACTCTCCTTGAAATAATAGAATTACTTTTTTTTATTCGGAGTTGTCTCTGGTTTATTTATTTGCATGAGTACATATTCTGCATCAACATATAAACTGAATCTGAACTTCTAGAAGACATTGGTATGTTACTGAGAAATATTGAGAATATTTGTTGGTATAAATAATGCTATATTGTAAAAATAAACTCATATTTGCCATGTGATTGTGTCTTTATAACAATGAAACCCAGGCCGATTGAACCATAAAATCTTGTTATATCATACCATTTTATTTTTTGAAATACCAAGATTGTATGACACATGTAATAATGTTTAGTTATTTATTTACAGGTAACAATGCGAACCCTGTTTAAGATTTGGAATGGAAAGCGAGAGAAAAGGAAAATGGCTTTTGCAGAGTCAGTAGAGTCGTTGCTTGAAATAGGTAAGATAATCTGATAATTTGACAAATCAACCTAAAATTGACATTTACAATCACAAGTGTCCATGTTTAGGATTCAACAATATGATAAATATATCTAACTTGACGGTGAACACCAATTAAAAAAAGTGACTAGGGATGGACTATATACAGATATTGTGAGGGTGTGAAAGATTCAAGGCAACAAGTTTACCCCATACTTCATCTTCTTGGTCTCTCTTCAGATGTCCACATATGTTTACTTTATTTTCATTTGGATTTTATTTTTGCTGGAGGAATAAAACAGAAAAAATTTAATTCATCAAAAAAACAAAACAAAAAAACACTGTTAATGTGGTTTTTCTAAAACAGTGATTTGTTATTTTCCTCCAGCAGTTCAATCTCCTGGCAGGAAATTGCCACATGCAGATGCAACCAACATTGATGTTTCTGTGTTTTGATTTAAAATTTCTCAGTTTTAATTCTATAATAATATCACCGCTGACTAAAATCAACCCAATAAAGTATAATTTTATCTTCTAACAATTCAACTGCCTCCAAAAATATATTATTCTGTTCATGTTCAATTAATTTAATAGGTTTTTTTTTTAAACTGGGGAACAGGGACACAGCGCCCTGATACTCTCGACTGGCGCCCTCTTAATGAATTGACGATTTAACTTTCAAGTCATAAATATATTTCTTGAGCCGCGCACTTCTGTGCTGCCGTACAACATGAAATCTTTCTCAAATATATTTTTCTCTGAAAACT